AATCCCCCCCCCCAAGGACTGTGGAATTGTGCTTTTGGTAATTAACAGGAAGGACTAAGGAGCTGTTGTTACGGTTCTTTAAAGCCATCACTTTTTAAGTTTAGTTTAAATAAAGTTAAAAACTTATCAATACTCTTGCCAAAAATGCAAACCAGGAAAAGAAAGTGAAAGACCAAGGCCAATAGCCTCTTTTTTACCACTGTTAGGGGTTTTTTTTCCCCCTGTGTAATTACACTCTGGCAGCTGTGTATAGATTAAATGTCATTGTGTGTCAGAAAAGTTTATATATACCATACACATAGATGCAAGTTTTTCTTAAAAAATGGCTTCTGCAACTTGCTGTTTTAAATTGATGTTATCATATATATTTTTCGGTCTGAAACCTAGCTTTACATCATTGTATTTTAAATAACTGCATAGGATTACACTGTGTGATCATATGGTAACATCTCTTTACCTACATGTGTCCCTTAAAAATCATCATTTCTAAATTTAGAAATGGAAATAATGTCATTAATATTTTTGAGTGTTTTTCTTTTCTTGTTCTTTTTAAAGTAACTGCTCAGCCTGTTGGGCCATTTAGACTTTTTGCATTTCTCCTTAGTGATGGCTTATTTTTATAGGGCAAGAGCTTATTTTTAAATTAAAAATAATACACCAGAGACTTGAAGTTTGGGACTGAAGTCAGTTAGATGAGTGATTTAATTTGGGCTATGCCCTGCCACCGTCAAGTTTAAAATAACCTATTCAAATGAGGGTTTCAATCTGTATTTGGACTGTGGGTTTTCAGTCAACCTTAGTAAATTTGTCTAGTTTTGGTCACCACTTATATAATGCTTAGTAGCTCACTCAGCTACTAAGTTGTTTCTCATAAAATTTAGATACTGTTTCCATAATTTTCTTAGGTTTATGAAGTAGGTGCCAGCCTACAATCAGAGATTTGGTGATTGTTGACATAAGAGTAGGTATGTGATGTTTGAGATATGAATTGTGGGGTAGGAGGAGCCTGGTGGGATGTCCCACAATATTTCTAGGGAGCCATTTTAACAGTCCTGTATCCAAGTTTTAGTAGCAGAAGAAATGGCTTTAGGTGAATTACAGTTCACAAATGAGCATTTGATGTCAGATAGTATTCTAAAATTTATTTTAAAAATTAGTCTTAAGGGCCCTCCCTGGTGTCGCAGCAGGTTAAAGCATAGCACTAAGAAGCTAAAGCCACTTCAGTATGAGTTCTATCCCTACCCTGGAGATGACCCACATGGCACGGTAGACCTCTCCTGAACCGCCCACTGTTCCCCTCAGCAGTGTACTTGGTCGATTTGCCTGTTCTGGTGAATCTGTCTCTGGTGAATCCTCTCACCGCTCCTGTACCTCTGGCCTATACCCCAGTTGTGTGTACATAAATAAATAAATAAATCTTTAAAAAAAATTAGTCTTAAATGAGTCATGTTCTGTTTCCAAGAGAAAGAGAAGGAAACACTATATGAAATATGAGGTTTCACTTTCAGGATTTAGGATTCTAGTTCCTAATGTGGAACATGCTAATGAAGTCTTCCTTGAAAGGTGTTTCTCTTAGGGATTAGGAGTTCTCGGTCTTTTCTGTACATGTCAGTGATTTTTCCAAGTCCCTATGCTGTAAGAATGCAGTTGGGCAAAGATATCACTTTGCAAATTGAAATTAAATGGGGTCAACCATTCCACCACAGACCAGGAACCAAGACTGGACAGTGATCTTGGAGTAACTTTTGTGTATGTGCATGTGTGTGAGTAAGGTCGAGGTATGTGGTGCTTCAATTTTGGTTGACCAGTAATCCAAACTATTGACAAGACAGCTCAACTAGCTAGTTTGAATAAACTAAATTTGGATATATAGAAAGGCATAGCAAGCAACCAAAATGTTAGTTAAGGAGGATGAAAAAAATGGGTAGTTGTAAGACCTGTATTAAACTGAAACAAAATAGGTGAGTTTACCTAGCCCTTTGGCTTGAGTTTGCTTGTAGAAATCGTAGAGCCTACTTTAAAACTGTCATGGCCTGCTCTCACAATCTAATGCACTGGTTCATATGAAAAAACCAGTATTGCAGAAAGTACCCAGGTCTAAAAAGTTGCCTGGCAATGCCATTGTTTGCCCCCAAATACCGTCTCTGGGAATTTTGATTTACTCACCTGTAACTGAAAGGATTGAACTTCTTAGGACTGTTGTCTAGCATTCTATGAAAAGAAGGCTATGTGGAATGCTTACTGAATGCTGTCTGTGTGCCCGCTACTTTGTGTGGATCAGCTTTTATTAGTTTGCCTTTCTTTTTTTCAGATGAGCAAATAAAGGCCTATAGAAAGAGGTTAAGTGTTAAGTGATTTGTCTTGGTCACATGCTGGGCCAAACTGTGAACCTGCATCCAAAGGCAGACATCCTTTATACTATCCTACTCTGTAGAAATTTAAATGTTGAGTTTATACTCTGGGGCTTCAAATCATGACTCAAGGTTACACCATTAAAAAGATCATCTGGGCCCTCCCCTGGTGGTGCAGTGGGTTAAAGCACGGCACTGCAAGCTGGTTGCAGGCATCTCAGTGAGTTCGATCCCCAGCCCTGGAGGTGATCCACAAGGTGGGGGAGACCTCTCCATCTCACTCCCTGCACCCCAGGCAGTACTTGGTTAATTGGCCTGTTCTGCTCCCCACTCTGTCTCTGACAAATTCTGTCACTGCCCCTGCACCTCTGGCCTGTACCCCAGCTCTGTATGCATAAATAAATAAAAATCTTAAAAATAAAAAACAAGACCATCTGGTTGGATGAGCTCACCAGATGAGTCTCTGGTGGGGACACCCCAGTAAGACAACATATATCCTCACTATAAAATTGATTTGACATAAATTTCATAGAACATGTAGGATAAGAAGGTCAGGGAATAAAATCTAAAAACCTAATATTTGTAGGAACTTCATCATTAGTTATGCCCAGTTGGCCCCAAATTGGGTGTGTTGCCTTGATATATAGGTATGGGGTCACTTAATTAAAGTTGGGCTGCTGCCTGAAACTTTGATGGAGAGCACTGCAAGCTTTGATAGCTAGGCCTGCCTTAAAAAAAAAGGATCTCTGTTGGATTATCTGTCTTCCACTTGTGTTATTTCTCTTCTGTGACTTATTTTGTGTTTGAGAAGGTTTAACATTCTGATCCCAAAACTCAAAAACACAACTTCAGTGGTGCATAAGTATGGGGGGAAAATGAAGTTTAGCTTATTTGTGCCCCACTGAACTGTGTATTAGTGTATATTTTAATATTAGCCAGGTATTTCCTCCACAACTAAAGAAAATTCTAAACACTCCAGTCTACTTATACTGTGATATATTTTCTTAGTCATCTCTAAAAGCGTCCATCAGCTAATATCCCAAATAGTTATTGAACATGAAAACCTCAGATAAACCTTCCTTGCAGCTCAACTGTCAAAAGTGCTATTCCTTTTCCTTTAAAAATAAGACTCAAATCAGATAACTCAGTTGGAAATGCAAAGAATCCTCAGTGTGAACTTGTGCAGTCCAGTGGAAGCAAACTCTGTACATACCAGCAGGAACAGGTAATGCCAGAAAAGAGACCTGTGACAGGTAGCCTCGGAGTCCAGAACACCTTAAGGAAGTTGGAGACATTTGGGAGTTGAACAATTGTCATCTCCATAGAGAGCAACTTTGGCAGGGCAGGGCAGGAATGTGTATGCAGCCATGCTAGATCTTCGAGTTTTTTCAAGATAATCCAGGTACTGGGATACTTTTAATGTTAAATATGGTGGTATTTTTTAAGCTTTGGCTGAGTTCAGATTTAAAGCCAGCACTTGCAGCCCAGAGCAACCATAACTGCGACCAAATCCAATGGTTAATGTGTAACTTCTGACCTGGTTCGCAAGCTTTCATTCAACTTAAAAGTTTTCACTGCACTCTAACTATAGGTGAACTTTGGTATTTTGATAGCTCACAACTGAAGGTGATTTCATTACTTGCATTCCCACCAGCAGTGGGAATTGTAAACCAAGAGCATTTTCTCTTTTGGCCACTGAGGGAACAGAACTATTGTTCTACTGAAGATGTTTGACTTTGTAACTGAATGTCTTGTCTTCTTTTTTAAAAAAAGATTTATTTATTTATACAGAACTGGGGTATAGGCCAGAGATGTGGAGGGTGAGAGGATTCACCAGGAACAGAGTGGGGAGCA